ATTCTAACAAATCTCCACCTTGGTGAAAAAATTCCGAATGAGCTACTATATCTCTGTCAAACAAACTGTCTTCTCCACAAAACAAATTAATTAAGAATTTTAGTTAAGTTTGAGTCATCCTCAAACTAAACCCTCCGGCTCTCATTCTTCAACCCATGCATGTCTTACGCAGCCACAAGCATACCTCCAGTCTTTCTGTCAAACTCTAAGCGCTTACCAAAAACACCCTTTTTGGAGAATAGGACGTCCTTGACTTTTCCTCGCATCTCTATTGTGACCAACTACTTGCCTCCCACGCATCTTAATGGCGCTCAAATGGACTATCTCATTGCCACCAAGATTATTACAAGTTAATATCACACTCGTCCTCATGGGTCTGCCTCCCTGGAAAGACTGCTGCAATTTCGATTGCCATCTGAAAACAAATTTCATTCTCCCATTACGTTGTGTAGTCCCCTCACAACCCTTTTGAGAACTAGGATCGTAACTCCACTTTCTAACTCCTCCTTTGCCAAGACCTGAATGCAAATTTCTGCGAACTATAAAAGATATTGTAGTAGCTCCACCTGTTACTATATTCCCTTGGAGAAGATATAAATTTTTCCCTTTGTGCCCTGTAGCACCACAAGAGAATCCAACACGACCATCATTGCTCCACCCTCTATTACAACCTTGTAACATTTGGAATTTAGCACACCTACTGAAATAAGATTCATCTTTAGATCCGGGACATGTCGCACATCTAACAATGGTTTTACCGACCCATTATGCATCTTGATCTTGACTGTTCGAATTCCCAAAATTTTGAAAGCTTTCCTGTCTGCCGTCAAAATCGAAACACCTTTCACCTCTTTATAGGAGGAGAAATAATCTGTACTGGGACATATATGAATGGAACAACTAGAATCAAGAATCCAACTGTCATTAAATGACATACCTAGTGACATATCTGAATACATGGTTGTCATGAGAACATATTGTTTTCCTTTAGTTTGGGACAGTGCTTGATGATGTGCCCTATCTCATGACAATAGTAACATTCCAAATTTTTATGAGATCTAGATTTGCCCCTATTACCAATACCCTTTGTCTCACTTTTGCCTCTTACAAATAGACCCTCAGCTTGTTCTTCTCCAATATTCCCAGACACCCTTTTCCTCAACTCCTGAGAGTTCAATGAGGATTTAATATCCTTCATACTAATAGTGTCTTTTTCATAAAGGAATGTAGTAACAAAATGATCATAGAAGAAGGCAAAGAACATAACAAAATAAAGGATTGATCCTCGTCATCAATTTTAATAGAAGTATTTTTCAAATCCATAATAATAGAATTGAAATTATCAATATGCTCCTTTAGAGGCATACCTTCCTTCATACGAATGATGTAGAGTCTCTGTTTCAAGTAGTTTGTTGATGAGAGACTTTGTCATATACAGACTCTCCAATTTCAGCCATAACTTTACCACCATATCTTCATCAATAACTTCACGCGGCACCTCATCAGCTAGATTCAAAATAATCGCATTGCGCGCCTTTTCATCGACCTCATCCTTGTTTTCATTGGACATAGTTGTTGGCAACTTATCTTTCCAAACAATGCCTTCTTTAGACCTCATTAAGTTAGCAGGGCTTGCATCTTAATGCGCCAAAGACTGAAGCTAATCTTGCCATCAAATTTCTCAATCTCGTATATGGTTGACATCTCAAAAAACTCCCCTAAATATTTCTCGGTGAATAGTACAGTATATGTGTACAATACCGTATGTGTGAACAATATTTGTACACAATACACAAACCGAGCTCTGACACCAGTTTGTTATGAAATAAGAACTGAATAAGAGTTTATGAGAACAAAGAGAAAATTAATGATAAGAAAATAAAATAGCGCACACATAAACGAGACAAGGATTTACGTGGTTAGGCTATGCCTACGTCCACGGGGAGAAGACAGAACAATATTTCATTATAGAAATAAAGAGATACAAAGCAAAGTGGCTCACACCCAAAACCCAATTACACCCACAAGCTCTCACTCTCTAACTGATATTACAAACTCAATTGATGATTTCAGATGATAGAGGCTTGAGATACTCTCGGCTATTTATAGCCAACTGAATCACCAAAATACTTGTTGGGCAAGTATTTCAAGTACTGAGCTTGATGGTCATGCACAAAACAGCTGTAACTTGTTATTAACACATCATAGCTGCAACTTGGATTAGTTTCCTTTGTTTGCAAGAACAGCTAGCAAAAATGAGTAGCAAGTTCCAAAGCTAAGCTGGAGTGTAGCATTTGATTACCATATACTTTATCTCCAAGGACTAATAAGCCGGTACAAGTTGGCAACATATTTTTTGAGCCATAATGTAATGGGTATGAATATATATATATTAAAGTTATAAAGTGTTTTTTTTTTAAAAGCAAGTGGGCCCCACTAATGTATTAAAAACACCACAAAGGGCATAAGGCCATTTCACAGACCAATTTCTCTCTCTCTGCGTCTCTTTCCAGAAGTTTCCCTTTCTTTTCTTTTCTTTTTCTTTTCCAATTTCAAGCTTTGATTCCTTCTACCATACTTGGAATTTTTGGGTGCTATTTGTAGCAAATCGAAGAGCACGGCGAGCTCTACGTGTGAGTACCAACAATTTCAGTTTTGGTGCACTCTAGGGAGTTCGAAATTCTAGGGTTCTTGGGCTCAAATTGGGGGTTTTCATCAATTTGAGATAGGGGTGTTCTAATCTACAATTTCTTGGCCTTTGGTGAATTTTTCCCCTTAAATTTGATTCTAAGCATGCTAAATTTTAATGACTTAGCTTCTTGTTGTTGTAGTTCTTTGTAATTACAATGATAATTGTGCTCCTTGTGTTATTTGAGTTCATATACATGTCTATTTTCATTACGGTAAATGAGCATGCTTAGTGTTTGATGTGTTGTATGTTTCCATAATTATTTATTTATTTATTGTCTTGAAGAAAAAATGGATGTTATGGTTATAAATAAATAAAGGAAAGGAATGTTTAGAAATTTTCATTAAATTGTGATGATAATATAAATGGAAATGTGTGAAAACATATAGTTAAATTAATGATTTGAAGCATGAAGTATTCAAGCATCCATTGGGAAAGAGAAAGGGGGAAAAATAATTGTTAGAACAAATAAAATTGTTTTGGGGAAAATATTTTCTAAAAGTGTTGCGAAAACCGGACGCCTAGGAGGCGCCTAGTGGTCCGTGATGTTGGTGTAGTCTAGAAGGGAATGTAGTTGAGTTAACTAGGCCGGATGCGACGCCGTGGAGGTGCCTTGTGGTCGTGGATAGTTAACCAACCTTCCTTTCGTGACGCCATGGAGGTGCCTTGGGTCGGATTACACTAACGGTTTGGTTATTGAAACGGAATTGTTTCGGAAATGGGGAGTGACATTTGCATAACATTGCACTTCATGACATCGTGGTAAATTTGTGATTGGTTGATATTTGTTATATACTTGTTATTGTGGTTGAGAATGGGTGTTTTCCGATGGCATGATCCCGTTCACTTTTTATCTATTCATTGTATGAATTCACGGGAATATAAGAAGTGTGTCTTGGACACTTCCTACTGAGCTTATGCCCACCCCCTTATTTTTAATATTTTTTCAGGATATGGAAAGGAGGTGGCGGACGACGGTCCACCACAGGTTTAGATGAGCTTGAAGACCCATTCTATTTTGTTATCTTTTGTATTGGACTCTAATATTTTGTAAATGTAATATTAATTACCTTGTGACACTTTAGTTTAATTAGTATAATGTTGTAAGCTATGGACTTTTAATTCTAGCTACATTTTATGGACTGTAATTTGATGTAACCATTTTGGGAATGTAGTATAATATCTGAATTGTGTGTTGGGACAGGATAAGTTCAATTTAAGACCCAGTGAGGCCACTGTATTTATTTTTTTGTATTTCAACAGGTTGTTGAGGGACATTTTCTGAGGAGGTCATGCCAAAATTTTTATAGATTTTTATTATTATTTTGGTACCTTTTCAGGTTGTTACACATAATATTCTAAAAGAACCTTAACCTATTATATGTATAACACTACATAATCAACTTAGTATGCTTAAATCGTGCAATTAACATCATAAAACTCAATGAAAGGCAAAGAAAGATGGGTTAGACACCCCTACCTTCAATGGAAGCCAAACAAGCCCTAATTTTCTCCCCAAATTCGAAATTCTCCAAATGCCTCCAAATTTGGTGTCAAAATGAAGGTCTTAATGTGTAGAATACTTTCTTCAAGTACAGTTTCGCTCAAATCTTCCTAGAACTAGGTCAAATATTGGGTTTATGAAGTGGGTTCTATGTAAAAGAAAAAGAAAATGATGAAAGATTGAGAAAATTCAGATTGTGGCCTCTTTTAGTCCCCCCTTAGTCAAAGTGGCCCCACCATGTGCTACAAAGTTACTTATATGCCCTCCAATGCAAGACCATTCACAAACTAGAACAAAAATATCTAACATATATATATATATCAATAACATGCCACTATGCAATAATAAATGGAAATGAAGATCGGGAAAATTCCCAAGCACAGAAATCCCATCCCGATCCCACACGGTACCCGAAAACTAAAAAATGACGAAATGAGTCGCAATATATTTCTAAGAGTTCTAAACTCGAACAAATGTTCAAAAGAGCCCTCGGAACTCATGTGACACACAAAACGAGACACAAAAACAATAAATACAAAAATGAGGAAAAAGCGCCAAAAAATCTGAAAAAAATTCGGGACATTACATCAATGTTTGATGTATCACTGATCCAGTAGTTAATTCTATTTGCAATAAGTAATAAAACTCTTCTTCTTCCATTTTTCTTTTTCATTTTTGGGGTAGAATGGATTCGGTGGGCTTTCAAATGGGTTAAGATATTAGTTCTACATAAAATTCAAATGGGTCACTGACATTTGGTTGTCTGAACGCCCACTGATGAGTACAATCTCAAAACTTATTTTATATTCATACAACTTTATCAAAGTACTGCAAATTCACACAGAAAGAGATGTAAAACCTGGAGGCAAGGACCATATGAAATCTAACAACCCATGTCAGCGAATCGTTCAGGTGAAATCATAACACCAGCAAAACAAGACATGAAGGAAAAGTTTCATGCATAAGGAGTTATATCTATTGGGTTTTTATTTTCGACTCTAATGCTAATTCAAAATTTATAAAATTTTGTGGTAGATCAGCATCCTGGAAGTGTACATGAGACCCAAGAACATTAAAAATGAGACATGAAGGCAAATTTTTAGGCATAACAACCTAGCAAGTGATACCTTTAATGGGTTTTATTATATTTTCTAGAGTAGGAATATTTCAACTGAGGAATTCTTCGGAAGATATTACACACATTAAAGCATCACATGGCTTGGGGAAGTTCAGTCCTCCAAATCGGCAAGATTCCTTGGTTCTTAAATCTTTTTGCTGATTTCCTATTTCTATAGTCAGAAATCAAATAATTCCAATTAAAAATTTTATGGCAGTTCAAGGTCCAGTAAAGTATAGGTGGCTGCAAAATATCAAAAATTAGAAGAAAAAAAAAATTCATGCATAAGGAGTAATAGCTGCTGATAATTTTTATACATGTAATATGTCACAAGTCCAAAGTTCAAACTAAAATATTTTAGGACAGCCAAAGACAACAGCATAAGATTTTAGATTTCAAATTAGACAAGCAAGTTGTAGACTTAAACTCTTAACTTCCAAGCAGAAATACAAGAATAGTACCTTTGACAGTAAAAAGGGTTGAATTGCAATCCCTCCAACTGGCCCGGAATGAGGGTTGTATACATAAATCCCATCTCCATCCTCCTCTCCAGAATCCACATTCCAAAGTCCAACCGCCCCAGACCTGTTCCCCACAACAACCATTCTCATATCCGCAGACGGAAAGAACCGAAGAGAGAATATTCGCCCAGACACAACCTTGGCACTCTTTTCTTCCAAATCCAGTGATTCCAGATCAATAGAACCACTTACCCTCCTATTTGGGTATCCTAAATTCTCATTTTCAGGTGATCCAAATTACTAGAACCCTTATCAATCCCTTTGACTGAACTACCACTATAAGATAAATGGGATTTCTTTGAAACACCTAAAATTGTTTCGATGAGCCTTCGATCAGTGCTGGCACCCCTATACGCATCTCTCATACGGAGAGGACCCAATTCATGAGGCAACTTCTTAAAATTTGGTGAATCTGACGGCACCAGTCGGGTCCGAAGGGACCTCCGAATCACAATTGGGGTTTCAGTTTTCGATTTCTTCTTGGGGCTAACTTTGTAAGATTTGTTTTGTACTCTGCCATATTAACCATATATATATACACATAGAGTGACGTTAATTGATAAAGAAACATACTTATAGACATACCTATATACATATATATATTCTTTAAAAAAGAAAATATAGAGAGACCTTTGGCGCTTTGTTGCAGCGGAGAGTTCATCGACTCTGGAATGGATCTTGAGACAAGTGATCATTTCACCATTACGCTTGATATTCTCCAGTCTTTTACGCTCGTATTCGCTGAGTTTTTTAGGCGCCATGAGAGATACACAGTTGCACAGAGAGAGACACACAGTTGATATTTATTGGGCGTATAATTTTAGACCTATGCAGCAAAAAGGAAATTGGCGGGAAAGAAATGTGGGAAACTACGTGGAATGATCCTGACCGTTCATATTTGGACAATTCTCCAAAATTATATGGAGATGAAGGAAAGCCTTGGAAAATTGCACTGGGTTGGGCTGTCTAAAATTGTATGGAGTTTGAAGAGAAGTAAAGCTTGGCCCATTGGACTAATTTAAAATTTGAAATGATATGAGTTTTAAATTGAATTTTTTTAAATGCCCGAGCAACAAATAAACTAAATTAAAAATAAAAAAATTTAAGAAATGGGGTAGGGGTAGAAGGCTGCAATGGTGGTTGTAGGTGCAGAATTTCGCTCAACCAATAATGATTAAGAAAAATAACACAACTCACTCAGTCAATAGTAAAAATAAATAAGAATAATATATGTCGAAGCGTAGAATTGCTTGATCCCTTTATTGGAGGTCTAAACCTCTATTTATATACAAAAGATTGTAAAATTATGGTAGAACTCGCGATGCTTGTCCTCCAATTCTTTCTATATAAACATTCTTTACTAATAGAGTTCTTTCCATTGTCTAATTTTCCATACATAGAACTTGCCTTGTACAGAACTTCCTATCTCAAAATTTTCCTTCTACGGTAAATCATTCAACTGGTAGGACTTGTGCATTCTTGGATAACTGGGCCGAACATACTTTGATCCGGCTGGGCTTGAGTAACGGACCGGATGTTAAATATTAACAAGTTGGGCTGATGACCTCTTGATTCGGCCTTGATGGAGGTTGGAAGACAAATAACAATGGTCTTGGGCTAAAAATACACTCAATTTGGGTTTGAGCATGACGGGCCTTATATGTCCTTGGAATGTAGATATGTGTAGTGATGACGTGTACGCTTCTTATTGGAGGGAGTTTTTTTCCCTCCACACTTTGCCCCAAATTTCATTTTTAATTGAGTGACGGCTCCCATTAAAGAGGGAATTGAAACCGATTTTTTACTTTGCTTCAGAGACGGTTCGAGGACTTTCATTATTACTCCGTCGTACAAGATTCTGCAAGAGTTACATTCGCCCTAGCTGCACTCCTGCGTTCTTCATTCCATCGCCTTGTCAAGTTAGTTTTTTTTCGCATCTTTCTCTTCAATCTTTCATTATGAGTACTTCATCTACTCCCGAACGTATAGACATTGGGGATTCTGAATCCACACCTTCATCTTCCCCTGTTCGCATTAGGGTTCCCCCTCCTAGGGTTTCTACAGATCGTCTTTCGTTGAATCAATTAGGTACTTCCCCCCTTCTGGCCGAGACATCCACCTCAGGCTCTGATAATGTTCTTACTCATGAAGAGAGGAAAGCAATCATCTCTATTCGCCGCATCAAGTTCTCTATTGCTTCGGTAATGGAAGAATTTGATATTCCTGAGGGAGTAGAAATTGTAGAATATCCCGAGGGTGCCGATTTTACCTCCGGCGAGGGAATTGAAGAGAATGAGTTGCTTCTTTCAGTAGGGCATCTTAGCGCCCTCCGGTTCCCTCTTCACCCCTTCTTTCATTTAGTTTTCAACAAGTTAGGTCTTGCCCCCCTTCAGGTAAATTCTAATTTCTTTCGCATCCTTTCGGCACTGTTGGTGCGCCGGAAATTAGAGGCTCTGGATTTGACCTTTGCCGACCTTCTGCTTACTTATAATATATCTAAGCATGGGACCGAACCTGGTCACTTCGTTTTTACCTCTCCCTTTCATCAAAGGATATGCACGAACCTTCCTTCATCCGAGAAGAAATGGAAAGAAAGGATGGTTATAGTTAAAGGAAAATGATTCGTGCCCCAATCAATTACGCTCCCCATCCTGCGCAAGTTCGGGAAATTAGGTATAGAATACTTAACCTCCCTTCATACCAAGTGTTCTGGCTGTTTTCCTTGCCAAGTCTTAATGTTTCGCCGTACTTATGAGTTTCTTGGTGTTTTTTCAGCTACATTCCCGTCCTCCGCAGCAAGGAACAGACTTTCTTTTCTTGAGGAACGAGTCTGGAGTGACCCCTCGCCTATCGAGAACCTGCTAAATTCTTCAAACCTCGAGGATATTGCCTCCAGTGCTGTTGCTGCAGACCTCATGGATCTGTCTCTACCATCCTTTGATAGTTTCCCCATGACTGAGGAGGAGATACGGAGGGCTGAGGCTTTAAAAAAGAAAGCCGAAGATGCCCAACCCTTGGTCGTTATTAGGTCTACCGAGGGTGAGGTGGAGGCTGAGGAACCACCAATGAAGAAATCTCGCCTCAACCCCCCATCATCTGGCAAGGGCAAGGTCCCTTCTAAAAGTAGAAGGAAAAAGGCTGGAGAGGCTGAACCTGAAGATGAAGTCAGGGCATTTGTTCTGGCTGAAACTGGGGCTCCTTGGACTCCTTCCTTCACCAGGGCTGACAAGTCAGTCCTGCATTCGGGGGATTCTATGATCACAGACCCTTCAGCTGCACTGGCTGTGGCCCGAGGGATGTGGCTCCCAAAGGACAAGGAAGCCATCAGCCAGATGGGGTTGGAATAACTACTCCCCTCTGCCCCGGTCCGGGCCATAGAGGTTCGTATTGCTCATTCAGAATTATGTTACTCTTGTTTACTCATGTTTCCATTTATGCTCATATTTGTTCTTCTGTTATACAGAGTCTATACCACACCATGGCCCTCTGCGCCACTACTGAAGCCCAATCCCTCTCCATCAAGAAGCTGGAGAAGGATCTTGACAATGCAGAGAAGAGAGCCACCACTGCCTCTACCAATCTGAAGATAGCTACTGAAGCCAAGGATGTGTATAAGAGGCAGTTGGTTGCCTCTGAGGCTAAGGTGGATTCTCTTCAGGCCGAAATTCAACGCCTGACCGAGGCTCTTACTACTTGCTTCAAGGCGGGGAAGCAAATGCAGGGGCGTTACTCTTGTCTGGCACACCTGGCTAGTGCTAAAGCATTCCGGTCTGGCTATAATCAGGGCTCAGGCCCTAGGACAATGGATCCGGACGCTTTTGACAAGCAGGTGGGGGTGCACTTCCTATATGATGAAGGGCCACAAGCTTTGGAAGCTAAAATCCGCTTTGCCAAGATGGTGAAGGCGCACCTGAAGGGTACTCCTAGCTTTTCTGCCCCTGCGGCTTCAATTCCTCCTACCCCAAGTCCTACTGTAGTGGATGCTTTTGAATCTACTCCCTTCGATCCGAAGAGGAAGTAGAACCATGTATTTCGTTTTTATTGACAGTATGTTTGGGATAATAAATATAATTTTTGTTTTAGACTTTCAATACCTGATTTGTTTTTGCTGTAGGCTTTTGATATTGTTCATACTTTTCTGACTGGTAATGTTTTTATGACAAACAAAACACATTGTCTTTATGCTTCGGATTTATGCTATCCGAGAAAAAGCAAGGATGGTGGGAAGAAGGAGATCCTTTTAACAGTTTAATTGATATCTCAGGATGATTCATATGGACAATGATCTAACTGTTAAGTGAACTCTTCTTGCCTTTGACTTGCCTGCAGTAGACATATACATACTCTTTCTTTCTCGTGTGTTCCTGATGTGGGGTGGATCATGATGAACTTATGATATATCCACATCCACAGGGTATTAAACACTTAGAATCCGGAGGAAAAAGTTCTGATTCGGCCACCAGAGGTCTGAATCGAATTGTTCCTCGGCACTGAGTGTGGAGGAATATTGCTGAATAGGACACTTAGGGTCCGAAGCTGTCTCGGACACTTAGGATCCGAGGTGAATTATTCCTCGGCACTGAGTCGTGGAGGAATATTACTGAATAGGACACTTAGGGTCCGAAGCTATCTCGGACACTTAGGATCCGAGGCGAATTGTTCCTCGGCACTGAGTCGTAGAGGAATAGTGCTGAATAGGACACTTAAGGTCCGAAGCTATCTCGGACACTTAGGATCTGAGGCGAATTAAATACTCCCTGGCGCGGAGCCTGAGGGGAGGTTTTGCCGAGCCGGACACTTAGGGTCCGAGGCGAGATTTTTGCCGAGCCGAACACTTAGGGTCCGAGGCGAGATTTTTGCGGAGCCGGACATCTAGGGTTCGAGGCAAATGAACTACTCCCCGGCGCTGAGCCTGAGGGGAGGTTAAATGAATTACTCCCCGGCGCTGAGCTTGAGGGGAGGTTTTGCCGAGCCGGACACTTAGGGTCCGAGGCGAATAAACTACTCCCCGGCGCTGAGACTGAGGGGAAGTTTGTTTATATTTTTTCTCAAACAACTTATCATAAGGCCGAGGATTCAAAAATGATAAGAGGCCAAGAAAGTGAGTAACAGTGGCTGTGAAGTTTCCTATTTGTTGACTTTGGAGACTTTCCTCCTCCACTGATACTCCCTTCTTGGCAACCAAATGTAATGGACCACGCATATATGAACCGCATTTCTTTTCTATTTCTATCCGATGTGGGATATAGACTAAATTTTGTCAAAAAGGTCGGTGTAAGGAATGCCTCTGGTATCGAGCTTGACAGCCTAAAATACCAGTGGGCCCTCCTTACACCGTAATTAACTATTTGAATATTCCCATATATAACAGAATGTAGCACATACTTTTTTGTCGATGTGGGATAGAAAGTTTTAACCATAGGCCATAACTCATGTGTTTTTTTCTTAAAAATCATTGTGACGAATACTTTTTAGCAGCTTGCTTCTAATTGCATAAAAATTGCATAGTGCGACTTGGCATGCATAAAAATTGCCTAATGCGACGCATGCATAAAAGTTGCATAATCATAGAGTAGTATGGCCCCCATTTTTATAGAAAGAAATAAATAGAGTAGAGTTGTACTGAATATAGAAGCAAAATAAAGAAAAGTTTGGCTGACTGTGGACATACTCAGCCTTATTTGTGAAGAATTTGTAGCAAAATTGACAAACTTAACTAATGGAAATACCTTTTAAGGTGTATTGCGTTCCAAGGACGCGC